TTCTTCTTCTTCTTCTTCTTCTTCTTCTTCTTCTTCTTCTTCTGTCATTGTTGGTTGATTGGTTGGTTTTTGTTTTGTTTTTATTTCGGAGCATATGCTTATGCTGTGGGAACAGATGCAGGAGGGTGCCTAGCACAGTGCTGGGTATACAATAGGTGCTTAATAAACATTTGTTCAATTAAACATATGAACAGAATTTAGTGTTTTAATCAAACCCCACAGCAGAGTTCAGAGCCCTGTTGAATCATGCATCGTCTCTGTTGTGCTGAAGTGATGATCAGAAATGAATGCAGTTTACCGCAGTCAAACCCAGACTTGGCTGGAGGCAGGAACTGTGGCAATGGGAGTATTCTGGACTACTCTGAGACCCTCCTACAGGGAGCCCAGCCATGATCCCCCTAGAGGCCATTGCCTCTGCGACCACCTTCTCTTCTAGGCAGAGGACCTGTAGACTGAGGCTTCTAGGATACTGGGAGAGCCTGGTATTGGAGATACCCTGGGCTTAGAAGCTTGGCTGGGCTCCTATGATGGGTTTGAACAATTGAGAAGATATCCTACTGGCCATGAGGGTAAGAGAGCGGCCCAGATGGCAGCCCTTGACCTTAGTGACAGAGCAGCTCTGCTCTGCCTAGCTCTGCTGTTCCTTCCTTAGTTCCTGCTAAGGAAGGACCTGGAGCCATAAAGCTCTCCTCTCACAGAGACTTCTCAGTAGAGCCATTGGGCACTCAGGTCCACAGGCATCCTTCCTGAGGAGAGATTGCCCATGGGAGACAAGATGGTCTAAGTCCAGACCCCCGACACTTCTAAATGCTGTGGGCAAGGGGAACTTTGGTATTCCCTGCCTCTCTAAGAACCCTCTAGGTATGTGTTCACACAGTTAGAAATTCTTCCTCTTGACTTGCCATGAGTGAGAAAACAGCCCAAGGAAGGGACTGTGGCGGGCATGTTTGTGACCCAGGCCCTGTGCTAATTTCCAAGTCCCCATCTTTCCTTGCAGTAGCTGAGCAGTCACTCTGATCAAGGAACTTGATTGGAATAGGAAAGGAAGGCAGGCTGTCGATATGGAATGCTGAGGTATGTTAAGGGGGACCTGTCAAGTGGAGGTGTCTTGTGGACCCAAAGTAGTCACCTGTGATGTAATTCAGCCCAGGGTACTGCTGGCCTTGCCTTTCCCCGCAGCTCCAGGTAGTTCTCAAGTCAGTAGCAGCTCCCACTGGTGCACTAGGAGAACAAAGACTGGGTTAGCTGTGACCCAGCATGGGGTCAGGGGGACTCTTCTTAGGCCACCTTGGCCTCCTTGTCTTCTGTCAGCAGCCTGGACACATGGCTGCCCAAGAGCAGTGGACACCAGGCTCCTCAGCTTGGGCTTCCAAAGAGCCTCTGTCTACAGAGGCTGTCTTGGCTGGTTGGAATGTGAGCCGGTGGTGGCATGGTCATATGAAGATAGCTGCTAAAGCCCCTTCTTCATCCTCATGGCAGTGACTTCCAAAAGAGCTGAAAATGGAAATGTAGAAAGTTCTGGAAGTCATTATTACAGTGGGCTGAGACCTTTTGTTAGCCAATGAAGAGTTTGGCAAGCTTCTTGTAGCTAGTAGATGGGGAAAATAGAGTTTTTGTGCCATTAGGCTCAAGTATCCTCCAAACTATGGCAACCCAGGAGCCTAAGAGCCTAGGGACCCCTGAAGGGTGATTTAGGCCCCACAGTGAAGGCACAAAACCAAGCACCAACCTTCCCTTCCATCTGCTTTCTCTGAAGAGCTCATGTTTCTTCATTTGCTTTCTTTAAGAACAGTCATGGCCCAGAAATGGCCTGGATGGTCAATAGGAGGTTGGCCCTGACTACTGGCACTGCAAAAGGTGGGCTCTGTACAAACCAAATGACCCACTGACGTTCGGTCTCCACTCACACTGGTGTGACATGCCTTCAGTTTTTGTGATGTCCAGCCCAGTCTTGGGACTGTTGTCATGGCCTCAAACCCTTTGCAGGTTGGTGTGAGCTGTTTCTTCCCAGCAATTACTGCTGCTGCCTGCAGAACCAGGTATCACATGAGCTCTCCTGGCCTTGGCAGCTCCAACACTGGCAGCCTGTGCCTTGCTTCGCTTGCTTTCTGCAGCCATTCACACAGGGCCTAGAAGAGGCCCAGTAAAGCTCAGAACCCATGACACATTTAAAATTTGGGATGGTAGGGAGAGGACCTGCTTCTGGTGCCTAAGGAATGAGAAACCACTAGAGGGACAGATTGGGAGAGCAGAACAGTCCATGCTAGGCCCCCAATTATGTCTCCCCAAGAGCTGTCACTCTAGACCTTAATTGGGTGAGAGAACTTGGCAGAGATCATCAACAGGAAGTGAAGGCAGAGCGGCATGCCCAGGAAAACCCAGCTGTGACCAGCAGCGTGGGCTCTTGGGTCTCCTGGGCCTTGAAACACTTCTCCTAAGAGCCAGATTGTCATTGTCCTTTGATGTTCCTTAGATGCCAAGAAGAAACAAATACTGGTCTGCCCTACTAAAAACACACTGTAGCTACATTATGTCAGTGTGTGTCCACAGCAAAGGACAGCTGGCAGAGCAGTGAGGCAGAATCGCTTCTGTTCACCATACACAGTGAGGTCTGTTTTTGAATGATTCTGGTTTGCTGGGAGCTCTTCAGTAACCTCTGAGAGGCCAGTTTGGTAGAACAGAGGCTGGCTTGAAGTTCTTTATTGATGGCTTTAATGGAGGCACGCTCATCTTTTTCAAGAGGCAGAAGGCCTTTGACTGCAGAGACATAAACAGTGTTCTGGCCCAGAGATGAGCCACAGCTGGGGAGGCGCTGACGATCCAGTGTTGAGAGCAGTTTTCATGCATGAGCTGTCCACAGGGGTAGCTGCCCTCCAGCCTGCAGGCTCCACAGCCACAGTCTTCAGCAGTGCGCTGGGCAGGTGCCTGCACTGCATTTGCTGTGAGACATCAAACAAAGGGTGGCGTGTGAAACAGTTCAGGTGTGGCGGTAAAGCCTCAGGATCAGCCCATTTTGCCTCCTCGGTTTTTTTTTTTTTTTTTTTTTTTTTTCTATAGACAAGTCTCCTGTCCTCAAGACACCAGGGGCAACTTTGAATGAGACCCAACTTGAACCTCACATGTAGGCAGGTGCATGCTTGGAAACAAGGCAGCCTGATAGGAACTCAAGGGAGGCTGCCCTTCAGGGTGTGCCAGCCACGGCTGTTTGCTAATAAGGGAAAGTGAGTCACTAGACGTTACAGTCCTTTGATTCAAGGGACGTCACTGGAGTTATAAAGCACTTGCAACGCAAACCAGAAGCTTTCAAGTCAACTTCCATACATATTTTGAATGGTAGGTGTGATTTAAATAGACCATGACTTCTGAGTACATGGCTTCCACAAAGAAATAGACACTATTCTGGGGCCGGTGGGTGTGATGGCATGGAGACAGAGTCCTAGAGAGAAGTGTGAATTACATGTCTTTTGCTTATACCTTTCTAAAGATCATTAAGTCCCTCTTTAAAAGAAAAACTGGAAAGAAGGGGACTTTGGTAGGAATTCTGAGCTGTATGAACTGTGTGTGTGTGTGTGTGTGTGTGTGTGTGTGTGTGCAGGGAAGGCAGCATGAGGGAAAAGCCAGGGAAACGACTAGGAGAGTTCAACTGTAACTCCATAACCAGGAAGTCTTCATTTCTGGTGGTGATGCTAAATGTTCTGGAATCCGCTTACAAGACTTTATGGGGCTTCAGTTTTGTGTGAACTTGTGCAGCGCCCTACTCTGATAGTGTAGCCCTTGCTGCAGAGTGGCCTCTGGGCCACAGAGACCCATACAGAAACCCAGACGGACCACAGTGGAGTCCACACTTGTGCACTTTGGCAGGAGATTGGCAGGAGACCTATGCTTCACAGCTGTTGGGCTATGTTGCTGTCTCCATCCCCCCACAACACCCCACCCCTGTACCATGTCTGATAGGAAGGCCTGACTTTCAGTTCGTTGTACAGTGTCTGATGATGTGACAGCAGGAAGACATTTCTTACGTCTTCGTAAGATTGGATAAGCAAATTATTTCATTAGTACTTTTTTTTCTTTTTAAATGCTTTTTGGAATATAAGTAATAGATACCTTTTTTTAAAAAAAGAAACTAAAGATAAAAGGAACAAAAAAAATCATCTGTTGTTCTACCATCTGATTGTAACCACTGTTAACACGCGTGGCTCTTCAGCTACCCTGCACAGCTGCTTTTGTTTCTTTTCCATGAAATATCATTTCATGCATACTTTTCTAATAACTCACTCTTCCCCCTTCAACACTGTTTCGTGAATGTACTTCTCTTGGTAAATATGCAGCTACCTACTTTTTTAACAGCTGTGTAGGTCATACCTTGGATATTTAAGTTGTTTTAAATTTTCTCCTCTTGTAGTCAGGACGTGATAAAATTGTTCTGACATCTTTGTAAACTGTTCAGAATATTGGTTTAGAATAAATTACTAAAATTAGTCTTCCATGATCTCCAAACCCTGGCTCCTTTCCTTCCTAGACATGAGAGACTGCCCTCGCCACCCTACTGTGGTCGGTGATTCAGGGCCCTGTGAGTAATTGCGATCAATGAGATGTGAGCGGAAGGAACATAGAAACTCTAACCAGGACTGTAGTGTCTCCAGTGTCTGCATGACTCCAGTGTGTCTGATCCTTTGCCTTTGCAAATGGAGACATCCCAGGGGTAGAACTGACTTCTCTCAGCCTGGGTCCCTGAGTGACTATATGGGACAGCTCCTTCCTCTCCCCCAACCCATCACCTACACGGACATGTGCCACGAGCAGAGATCAACCTTACTGGTCTTACCACTGGGATTTCAGGGTTGGTGTTTTTACTGCAGCGTAACAGCCTTTTTTTTTTTAACTAATATGAAAAAAGGCATGCAC